TATATATATATATATATATATATATATATATCCAGTGTGTTCAGAAGTGAGGCCTGTAATCTTTGCATCTCTTTGCCCATTTTTTTAAACTTTCAACAGCTTCTTCCATTCCTTTCAAGTAACATAAGACAACTCCAGTCTTACTCATAAATAATTATGCAGAAAGAAAATCCTGAACAATGTATATGTACAATCCTATGGTGGTATAAAGGTACTAAAATAATGGAATAGAAATTACTAAATAAAAAAACCCCTGAATTTTGAACAATTTTAATAAATGTACTGTATCTAATATAGAAAGTGAGGATTTAAAGATACTAGTAGAGAAGCTTTTTGACAAGCAACTTTGCTTAAAAATTAAATGATGGCCATGAGCAACATAAAAATGGCTGAAAGAAAGAACTTCTGTCTTCAACTGTTTCAGCTGGATTATTGTAGAAATGTTTTCCTCTAATGAAAAAGGCAATTCCATTTTCTCCTGTGGCTTCCTATAAAGCCTAAAATTTGACTTGAGAATATCTCCTGACACATCACAACTTTTCTACCCTTCACTAAACCAGGCTTGGGCAGCATGTGATGTATCCGACCGTGATTTTGACACCCCTGCTCTAGAACACACTTTTGAAATATTTAATAGGTTCATGATGAAGGAAATATCTCTGCACAATCTCCTAGATCAAAACTTGGGTTTTATCAGATTTTAGATACCATTGACAAAATCTAAAATATTTTTGTACATGACTTAAATCAGCGGTCCCCAATGTTTCTGGTTTTGCAGACTGGTGGCAAAGGGGGTGGGGGAGCGCTGAGGAGGATAATTCCATGCAAGCAATGGGCTATCATACTTACAGAAGTGGAGCTGGGTTTGCTTGTGCACTTGCCTGCCACTTGTGTGGCTCGGTTCCGAACAGGCCTGGGTATTGGGCACCCCTGAATTAAATGGCATTTTACCTGCATAAAATCTAACCTTGCTGCTATACTTAACAGACATTCAAATCTAATGGAAACTAATTTTAAGATCCAACTTAGTATGCTAAACCTGAAGGTTTAATAAAGATATCTGCGGTATTGCAAAAATGTATTGTTAAAGGATTTTATTAGTCCTTCCATCCAATTTTTAAAGACAAAAACAACAGTTATACAGATTTACTCTGAACTAAATCCCAAGTTACTACAGAATTATAGTATTATTTAACACTTCAGTATCAGCCATAATCTTCATACTGGATTATTTAATAACCAAAATGCTTATACAATATCAGTTACCAGCAATATCATTTTAATTCTGCTCTGTTCAGTTCAATTATATTCCTAAAATCAGTAGTTAGCAATGTTTTTGCTTCCTTCTTTAGATCAAGCTCAACGTGTGTTGTTTTAATGATAACAATAGGGAACTTGCCATTCCCTTCTTCTGAGTAGGTTTTAAATTTCTTAACTTGGTCTACAGTCCTAGAATTTACTGATTGTTTTCAATTCTTGTGAAAATGAAATGTGCAAAATGGAATGGTTCATCTCTGCAATATTCTTTTTCCACCAACCCAGATCAAATAATGAAAAAATGGTCATAGTGGTATTGGTCCAAAACACAAAAAAAATGAATCACAAACTATTTCTAAATGGTATAACTGGGCAAATACATGTACATGGGAAATAATATTTTATCTTTCCCTCCCTCGATGTGTGTGTGTGTGTGTGTGTGTGTGTGTGTGTTTGAGTGAATATACACACACACACAACTAAAACTTTTGTATCTGTTTGTAACCTTTAATTAAGTGAAATGGTGCATCATGGGGCAGTATGCTGTGTGTCAGGGAGGGACTGAGTGGGAGTGCAACACAGGCATGATGAACGTCAATCAGGGTGTAGATGGGTGCCCAAGACGTGCAGCAAGGATTATGGAGGGTGTGTGACAGTGCAACGCAGGCTGAATAGCATGGGGAAGGGTGTGGGTCATGGAAGGGATATACAGCTAGAGTGGGAGCTACAAGGGCTATGCAAAGTGTTGCACAGGTCAGGGAGGGTGAGCAGGGTTGTGTGAGTTATTGCAGAGGGACTGGGGAGGGTGTACCAGTAGGGTACTTACTTAAGCAACTTGCAAGCTTCCCTCCCAGCTTCTCTGCTGATATTCTCCCTGAAAGCTTCCCACAAAGTCAGTGGGAAAGCAGCAAAAAGTTGGAAATTATTCCCACTCTCACTGCTTTTTTACCTGTCCATCATTCTGTTGATCTGTTTAACTATATAAAAATTTCTAGAATTTTAGCTATATAAAAACAGTGAAGCAATTGAATAATCACTCAATAGGTCATGAGTTGCCTAGTATGGTTGGTAAAAGCTGACAATAACTTGATGGCACGTAATCAATCAATCAATCCCAGTACCATTTCTTAAATACTTGAACTAAACTAAGGAAAACAAAATGTTCTGGAGGGGGAAAAGCTCTACCTGCACATTCCCAGTGTAAACATCATGTAGCACATTCTGATTTCTCAGACTACTCAACTGCATAAGTGCCTCCAGAACCTTTCCAGCTTGGTGACCCGGTCTGGCAGGAGGGAGGGCATGTGAGTAGCATGACATGCACACAGCTCCATTTGTGAGAGTGAGCTCACCACTCATGCGAAAGGAGCTTCATGAGCGAGCAGACGACACTTGCACAGAGGGTGCTTGTGCTTGCATGAGAAGCTCCACTCACACTTGCCCATCTCTCCCGAGGCCCGGTTTTAACCGGCTGTGGCTGGGGAGTTGTGGATCCCTGCTCTAGGACAGTGTTTTTCAACCTTTTTTGTGCAAAGGCACACTTTTTTCATGAAAAAAATCACGAGGCACACCACCATTAGAAAATGTTAAAAAAAATTAACTCTGTGCCTATATCGACTATATATAAAGTAATTCTAGGCCCTAGAAGACAGAAAGGAGGACCCAAGCAGTGGGGGGGGAGGGGAGGGTCCCCTGCCCGGTCAGCTTGGAAGGATCTTTCCCTGCCCAGTGAAGGTTGAAGGGGCTGCAGTCCCGCGGGGCCAGGGTCCGCCAGGAGCCCTGCGCGGCTGAG